CTTTCAGCTTGAGCCCTTGGTATCAAAAAAAAAAAAAAAAATTCCGTTCTGCTTCTAAGTCAGAGTCCCAAGTTAATTTGGGGCCCAGCCAGCTGGGACATAGTCCTCAGCTCCCTAGCCTTTTCTGCACATGGTGAAATCCCTCCCTCTCACAAACTGTGGGAATCTGGAAGCCATGCAATCAGAGAGTGGTATTTGAGGAGACATCAGGTCTCATGCTTCACAGCCGTCTGTCATTTCACTGGCTCCCCCTCAGGCCCGATCTTCCAAAAGCCCAGGTTGCCAACATGGGACTCACTCACTTCATCAGCCCAACTGGGGCAGAGTAGCCAGGCCCCTCCTCCCCCTCTCCACCGACTGCTCCAGTGGCCAGCAGTTGGATGAGCCCAACGGAATTGTTCCAGCCTCTCTAGAATTTTGGAAAGTTTAATTTCCTCCCCCTGATTACATTATGATTACTTAAACACTGTGAAGCTCAGTCACCAATATAATTGTAGTATCATTCTAGGAAATAGCCCATTCTTATGTCCTTATAAGAATAAGAAGAATTGCAAAGTAAACAGAGCTACATTATGTATTTCATACTCGAGGTGTTCTTATGACTGATGTTATTCTTTACGTTTCAGAAGCTTAATCAGTTTTTGTATATAGCATTTCTCTGCTGATTGCATTGAGCTGTGTCTGATTTTTTTAAATTCTCAATTGAACATAAATGAATATTTTTCTTGATGGTCCAGAATCCAAACCCAACCCAAATTTACTTCCATCAAGTCCATGACGATGCATAGCGACCCTGGGGACAGAGAAGTGCCCTGTGAGTTTCCGACACTGGAGTAGGGAGCTCCCTCTTCCTCCCTCAGAGCAGCTGGTGCTTAGCACCTCAATGCACAGCCACTCTGCCCCCAGTGTTGCATCATATATGATATAGATATGATATAGATATGATATAGATAGAACCATGAACGTTCTCTGTCCTCTGAGGTATTGATTAGGGCATACAGAGCATTTGCTCTTCCACTAAATGGCCCTAGACAGTTGTATTTTGGGAGGTAGGACATCTGGTTTCTTTCCCCCTGTTCTTCCCCACCTCTTTTTGCTGTTATCAGCGTCCTCTTCTCCAGCAATAATTTTCTCCATTGTGATTTCTATTTGGAACTCCTGTTAGGTCGCTCGATTTAGGGATAGGGCAGATGTCCCTTCCATCCCTTCAAAGGCCCCCATAAAGGGGGTTGGAAAGACATTAGGCAAACCTTAGACACCAATGAAGACCCCAAACTGGGCGTGCACATACTCAACTCCCTGAGCCAGGTGGGAGGTACACCTGGGTGGTCCAAATGAGGCCCAGGTTCATGGCATCACCAGGTGGGCTCAAAGGGGTCAACCAATACCTTTAATCACACCTTCTCCCAGTCAGGAGGTAGGCTTGAATAAGGGCAGGGAGCAAGCTCTGGGACTCTCTCTGACCAAGCTCCAAGTCAGTGGCAGGTCAGAAGGTGGGGGCACACATGTGTCACCTGGGCACGCCCCCTCAGGACCTGCTCAGGGCCCACATGCACTGGGGCTCCCAGGCTCTTCTCTCTTGCCCTCGCACTCTGGCCCACTAGCTCTCTGGTCTTAGTACCCTCTTGCCCCTTGCTCCCTTGACCACTCAGTCTGTGGGATTCTCCCCAAGTTCCACACATGTGGGTGCTCTTTTCCACATGGTTATTCAGGCCCAGTTGTGAACCCCTTTGAGACTGTAAAATCTGAAACTTTTCCTGTCCTTCATAAAAACCCACTTGGATTGCAAAATGGGCTTCAGCGTGAATTCTTTCATAGTGCCAAGCCAAGAACGAACGGAGGTAATACTCACTCCAGAAACCTAACACTTCCAATCTACTGGCTGACGGAAACAAGGCAAATATTAAGTGGTTTTAAAGACAAACCCATTGACCAAGAACATCTTGTACGGACTCTTCTAGGAGCAGAGTGTGTGAGCATGCTGTGAAAACTTTCCACTGTGGACTTGAGCTGCTCAATGGCCTTTGCATGATGAGATCCTAGATCCTGGCTGGGTTTTTGTCATTGCTTGGTGCCATCCAGTTGGTTCTGACCCATAGTGACCCTGTGCACAACACAACATAGTGACCCTGAGCACAACACAATGAAACCCTGGCTCATCTCCCACTGTCTTCACGATCATTCCTATGCTGAGCCCATTGTTGCAGCCACCGAGTCATGCCACTTCATCAAGGACTTTTCCCTTTTTCACGGTATCTCCACTTTATCCAGTCGGATGGGCTTCTCCAGGGACTGGTCTCTTCTGATAACATATCCAAAAGTATACAGGATGAAGGCTCACCATCCTTGCCTCGAAGGAGCCTTCTTGCTAGGCTTGAGATTATTTAAATCCCAGGAAAGGTGACCTCCGGAGGAGTGACCTGCTGCTGTGCTATTTTCCCATTGGTCTCACTTTACAACTCCACATCAGTGACAACTCAGCGATGTCAGCTGGTTTGAAAGGATGGCTTGAACCAAGCAGCATCCACTCTGCTTAGCAGGGCTCGTGGCCAGCCTCCTTGAAGACACATTTGGATTGGACTTTTGGATATAACCTCTCTAACTCATTCATTCTTTGTGAAGGCCACATGAAATAGAAGTCTTAAACTATTTTGCATGAAGGCAAAAATAATCTCTTAACAAAGGGGCATGTGTTTGAAATCACTAAGGCCAGGGGATGTTAGATTAAATTAAATGATATTCTAATTTCCATACTGTCCTAATTCACTTTATGTCCTAGTTCATGTTCCTTCCTTCATCGCTTCCCTCCATTCATCTATTAGCTTTTCTTCTCTTCTTCGTCCCTTCCTCTCTAAAATCAGTGCTTCTTTACCTCAGGGCAGGGCAATAAAAAAGAAAGGGGGTTACCAAAATATTTTACATTTAGGCAGAGACTGCCAAACTACTCATAAATGCCAGCAATAAGAAAGTCTCCCCCCACCCCAACTTTGAGTGTTACGATGCTAATTAAAGAACGTTAATATCTCATAGGATATCCACATATGGTCATGTTTCTCCTGAGTTTCACATTATTAGCACTTGACAATTAAGCCCTTCCTATAGTTCAGGAAATATTTAGGATTATTCTCTCACAGTGTGTGAGATTGCAGCACCTAGGAGGACTGCAAATGGATGTGTGCCTGGCTAGCATTCCGATAGTCCCTGGCAATTAGGCTGGGTTTAGAATCTGCACCACAGAGGAAGAACCAGAGAGGCTTCCTGAACCAGTGCTGGGTAGGTCTCATTCCTTAAAAAAAAAAAAAAATCCTGAAAAGGCTTTCCTTGGATGTCAGGGAAGTCTGCGTCTATGTGCCTTTCCATTGTTTTTTAAGGTGTGGTGCCCTGGCATAGTGATTAAGAGCCAGACTGTCTGAATTAAACTTCTGAACTTAGGCAAATTACTTAACCTTCCTGTGCCTCAATATTTTTATCTATAAGAAATAGACATTGCATATGGAAGTATCTGTTCCTCACTCCTGCAGGAGCAGGAATGCATCCATAATATGCTACATTGAAAACGGAGCTCTCAGGGCTACCAACCTTACAGTTAAGGTTGAATAGTAGTATGTTTCTCCTACATAAGAGGGAGAAAAAAAATAGACAATCATAATTGTTACATCAGAAGGTTGCAGTAAATCAAATGGAACAAGGCCAGGAACCTAGTAGTGCCATGTCGGTGTTTATTCCTAGTATTTTCATAATGTGTGTTGGCCTCAAGAATAAGATAATATAGAATACTGTGGATTTTGAAGTGCTGGGGTCTGGAGTCAACCCCATCTAGTGAGAGCATTTGCTCTGTAACTTGGCAGTGTGACCTTCGGCAAGTGTGTTAGCCTGTATTGACCTAGAGAAACAAATCCAGGCACTCTTATATGTGTAAGAGAGAACTTTATATCAAGAAATTATTATGCATCAATGAAACATCCCAGCCTAGTCAAGATCAAGTTTATAAGTTCAATATTAGCCCATGAATTCCTCTTCAGGTTCACGCAGCACATGCAATGATGCTGAATGCAGGAAGATCACAGGCCAGTGAGTAGAAAGTCCTGTGGTTCCATTGGCAGCAGAAGCATCTCCCAGGCTCTGGCTCCTATCCATGTGGCTCCATATGGCTTGTCCACAGAATCGTGTAGCAGAGAGAGACTGTGTCTGGGTCTCCACTGGGCTATTTATCTTCACTGCGCCTCCAAACGAGGTCAACAATCAGCGATCTGATTGACAAGCTAAACTCCACCCCTTCACTCTATTTATCAAGTTGACATGAAGTTATGTAACTACCACAGCAAGTTACTCAACTACTCTGTTTTAGCTTCCTTATCTCTGTTGTTGTTGTTGTGAGGTGCCTATAAGTGGGTTGCAATGCATAGCAACTCTATGCATAACAGAACTGTAGAAAGGGTTTAATTAAAACATTTCCCTCGTAGGACTACGAAGAGGATTAAATACCTGTAAAGAATGCACATAGAACCAGTTACCCTCAAGTCAATTTTTGACTCACAGTGACCCCATGTGCTTCAGAGTAGAATTGTGCTCCATGGGGTTTTCAATGGCCGAGTTTTCAGAAGTGCATCACCAGGCCTTTCTTCCAAGGCACCTTTGAGTGGACTCAATTCAACCTTTTAGGAAGCAACCAAGCACATTAACTGTCCACACCACCTAGGGCCCCTCTAACACATAGAATTGTATTCCTAGTATTTTCACAGTGTGTGTTGGCCTTAAGAATAAGACTATCACATGCTATGTGGACTTTAAAGAACTTGGGTCTGGAGTCAGTCCCAGTCGGATGGAGCACATGCCCTGTCATATCTTTCTGGGTGGCCATTGGCAAGTTGCTCAATAAATGTTCATCATGAAGATGTTGAGGAGGAGGAGGAGGACAGTGACATGATGACCTGAACGATCACCTGAACATGTATTGTTGACAGAAAAATTTTAAAGTTGTATTCTTCTCTATCTTCTTTTGGGAAGGTGGAGGCAGCAAGAGCTCCTCTTGGGGGCACAGTTTACACAGCTTTTTCTGTGCTTGTCTGGAGATGGGGTGGCCAGGGTGCAAGCAAATAAGACTTAGGGGCTTTAAATTTTGCAGACACCTGAGCTCAGAAATGACCAGAAAAGCAGGCCAGGACTTCATAATGCATCTCTGGCTGGCAGCAGAGCCCTTGACTTGGCCTCAGGACACAGCAGAAGAAACTGGGAATCTATATTATGGGTTTTTCTTCAGCCTAATTCTCAAACCCAACTGGCTAAAGAATGAGATCACTGAAGAGGAAACATTTTTCTCCATAAGAAATGGCTCAACATTCAAGTTTGCACAGAAGATTTGGCCAAGCATATAGATGTCCTTGTCTTGAAAAATTCATTCAAAATGCTTATGAGAAATATCTGTAGGTCCAGGCCAGTGGGTGCTATCATTGTTCTCACACAAATGACCAAGATATTAATCAGAGTGTGGCCAAAGGTGTAGTGCAATTTCTAAGAGTTGCCACCCATGTTCCAGTCCCCTCTATACAGTGTAGATCACTGTTGTGCCCATGAATTCACTGCCAGGTCTCTACGCCACAGCAGTCATGAAGAGGCGAGGGGTGAGCAATTATGCTACCATCCTCTGAGAGCCGTGTCTTAGTTTCCAAGGAAGTCTAAGTCAGGGTGTCAACCACGCTGACTTCTGAGGTCTCAAGGACAGAAACTATTTTGTGAAAAAGGGAATGAGTTGACATCTAACCTCCTCTGATGTCACAAAAGGAGGAGGAGAATCACCACAGATCAGCCCAAGGCTGATTCCTGAGGCTGAAATCAGACACAGCTCTCCTCCTCTCCAGCCCTCCTAAGCAAGTTGACAGAGCAACTGCTCCCACAGCACGCTAGGTCTCTGCTGGGTTCAAAGTTCATTGCACTGGCCGTCCAAAGCGCACAGACGATACTCACAGTTATGGTTTTTGTTATTGTTTTTTGTTTTTTTTAGGAAAGTCAAAGGTTTGCAATTCAGAATCAGTAATGCCCAGGACACAGTTCTTCCAGAAAGGCAGCCTCTTCTCAGCGGTGCCTGCAGACACTCCTCTCTTTTGTTTTTGTCCTCTCAGCTTCATGTCTCTTAACCTTTGCCCAGCTTAGCTATGTAACAGAGCTCTTTCAGCATTGCTAATACATGCTCAAAGGGCATGCTACTCTGCCACAAGCCTCTGCCTGAAGGAACTCAGTTCTGTCTCTGTGGTCAACAAACCTAGCTCCCCCATTAAGCACATGGAGGCAACCCAATATACAAGCAGGCGCCCTTCCCAAAGGCCCTCCACTTTGCTCAGTCCGTGGGCTGGGAAACCCACTGCACCGTCTTGTGCCCCAGCTCTTGGTTCTACTGTTATTGCTTCTCTGTCCCTTCGCTGCTGTCACAGATGTCTGTCTCTGGACGGAGAAGCTACAAAGTGCGGAGATCTTGGAGTCCAAAGGCTATACTCCACTCCGGGCTCTCATTTGTAAATGTTAATGAGACGTCCATCTTGCTTCTGAGATGGCTTTTTAAAAATCCAGCAGGATGGCAAAATTGGGTTACTCCTGCATGACCTCATTAACTAATAGTATGCTCAAAACAAGGCCTCCTTCATAGGTTCAGGGTTACCTGTTCAAAGTATCTTTTTTGAGAATACAATTTAATCCTTAACCCCAGCAGAATTCACCCACCCCAACCCCTTAGAAATTTTAGGAAAAACAGTTCTGTTGTCCTCAGCCAAGCTACATAAACTGACTAAAAGCTGCGACTCTGATAGTTATCATAGCTTTACCCTCAGATCCAGACACCCCAGAGAATCAGGACATAGCCTTTTTTCTAGGGTATCGGCACCTGCCCTAATAGTCTGGAATGCTTTTTAGCTTAAATGAGTCCATCATAGAAATGGAACTACTGAGTCCCCAGGGCAGAAGGTTAGTATTAAGTAAATGTCTCCCGAAAATCCTTCTTAGATACCTCTAGAAGGAGCCCTAGTGGGGTAGTGGGTTACCTGCTGTGCTGCTAACCACATGGTCAGCATTTCAAGACCACCAACACCTCCACCAGAGAAAGATGAGCCTTTCCACTCTCATAACAAGTTGAAATCTCTGAAATCCACAGGGACAGCTCTACTTTACCCTATAGGGTTTCTATGAGTCAGAATTAACTCTATGGCAATGCATGTTAGTTGGGGTAGACTAGAGAAACAAATCCAGGGAGACTCATAGAGACTCATGTGTAAAAGAGAACTTTATATCAAGGAACAATTTGTGTATTAGGAAAATATCCCAGCCCAGTCCAGATCAAGTCCGTAAGTCTGATATTTTCCCATAAGTTCGATACAAGTCTATGAATTCCTTTTCAGACTCATGCAACCCATGCATTGACACCAAATGCTGGAAAATCACAGGCCAGTGGGTAGAAAGTCTTATGGACCCAGTAGCAGTGGAAGTATCTCAGCACTGGCATGGGTCTCCACGTGGCTCCTCTAGCTCCAGGGCTCTGGTTCCATCAGTGTATCTCCATGTAACTTGTCAACAGGAATGTGAAGCAGAACGTGAGTGTGGGTCTGGCCTCCAGTGAGCTATTAATCTCCTTTGTACCTTTAAAATTAGATCATCAAGCTGCGACCTGATTGACAGGCCAGACTCTACCCCTTTGCAAGTTGACAGGAGATTATGTTACTGCCACACAATGAGGTTTTTTTTTTGTTTCATTTTGTTTTTTGAGGTATACCTAGAACAAAAGTCCAAGCCTGTCTTTATCCTGCCTGCTCTTTTATTTTCATGTGATCAGTATTAAAATGAACTCCCTTGATTGCAATAACTGCCCCATACTCAAAAGAGGCAGAGGCAAGGCAGGAGGACCTCATTTACTCGTGTGCATTCACTACATCTAGATCTCTTCAAAGTGTGCTTTTCTCACGAACGCTCAGGTCTCTACAAACAAGAGGACAAATATTCCCTGTGCCATTGTACTAGACCTTTATATTCGGTCTTCTGGTTTGTATCTTCGTTCTTCTTATTGGTACCTGTTCTAGTTGGGATTGATGTCAACTTGACTGGCCAGAATTCTCAGGGCTATGGCAGTTAGGGCCTGGTGATCCCCTATGATGTAACCTAGCAGTACAGTCAGCTCCATGGTGGGATCTGTTGTGAGCCACAAAGCAGTCGTAAGAGTATTAGGGAAGCATGCAAGCTCCATACTCAGGTCACAATTCTGATGCAATTGAGAGGAAGTTTCCTCAAGGGTGTAGCCTACCCTTATTTGAACAAACTCTGTGGGAAGTCTTATCTCTTCTTGCTGGTCTGGATCCACCATCTAGCTCATCAACCTCTGGCTCATTGGTAGCTATCCATGGCCTGATACATTGCCTGTCACCTTGGTTTCATTTCACTTTGCAGGTATGAACCTGACCAGCTGACCTTGGATTTATTCACCTTTGCCTCCACCAGCCTGAGGGCTTCTTGCTTCTTTCAGCCCCAGCAGCCATATGAGTCAGGAAAAGACTCTAGTGTAACATTTGACCCACAGACTTGAACCAGCAGACTGGACTCACTGACATCTACAATGCTGTGAGCCATTTTCATAAATAAATAAA